CTTGGAATAAATTTTGTTAGTGCAATAATGCCATCAACTGGAATATATGTTTAATTTGTTTCAGTTATTTTTTAATATTTAGGTATAACAACTTAATATTTATTTTTGTCATATCATTATGTAAAACTATTTAAATAGTTTCAAAGTCAAAATAGTATTATTATTTATATGTCTAGCTTTATTTTTGATCCCTTTATCCCCTTTTCTATTTTTCCCCATAGATTACCATTTAAAAATATTTTATATTTGTCCTTTTACTTTTTAAATCTGTGTTTTTATTTGTATTGCCATGTAACATATTATACTCACTCTTATCCATCTTGTTGTTACTAATTAACAAAGTCATAAAACTCACCCTACAGCAGTATATAGAGATATCCCTATCCCTCTTTTTTATAGCTGTTTAGTAATAATTCATTTGCCAATGTCATAGTTTATTCAACGAATCCCTTTTTTGATTAACATTTGTGCATTTTGTTTTGGCAAACAGTCCTAAAATGAATAGCCTTGGGCATACATCTTTTTTTTAAACATGTTTTTGATAGTGAGATTCCTAGAAGCAAGAATGTTGGGCTAAAGGGTAGGTGTCTATGTACTATTGCTGGTATGGTGAGCACCTCCCTGGGAGCTCCACTGGGCATTCCAATCAGCAACATGTGGGGGTGCCTTTTCCTCATAGCCTCACTAATTAGTTTGTCTTTTTAAATGGATGTTGCCAGTTTAGTGAAAATTACTGTCAGTCAAGTGTTACTCTGCTTTTTTTTTTTCTTATGAGAATTGTTGGCATCTTTTCACATGATAAGTGATTTACATTTCTTTTTTTCTATGAACTCTTTTTTTCTACCCCATATTCCTATAGCCTTGTTCTTTTTCTTCCCTAAGTTTTTCCATATTAAATATATTAACCTTTTGTCTTTGATATAAGTCACAAACATTTGTTCAATTTTTTTTTCTTTGCTTTATGGTATCTTTTCTTGTGGCAACTTGTAAAAAAATATGTAATTAATCAAATATCTATTTTACCCTTAATTTTTCTGGATTGTGCATTGGAATTTGGAAAATTTTATTTACTCCCTCACTGAACAGAAATTCACCAATGTTTCCTTCTAGTACACATATGGGCTACACTGATATTCACATATGAGATGAATTTAAAGTTTCCTTTTATGAATGCAATGCTTGTGATTTGGGGGATCAGTATTATATTTGTTTCAGAAAATGAATGGAAAGTTTACTTTATTATTATCTGAAAAGGTAAAGTAACATTGGGATTATCTGATACCTTTTAGATTTTGTAAAATTCTGTGAAATATCAAGATCTGGTGCTTTCTCTTGGCAAGCTCTTTTAAAATTAAAAAATAAAAGGAAAGAAATCTCCATGGCAATTGGACTTCGGGTATCAATGTTAGTAAATTATATTTTTCTAAAATTTTATTCATTTTTTTCTAGGTCTTCAATTTACTTACATAGAGTTCAGCGAAATAGTTTTCTATTCATTTTTTTAAGTACCTCTGTTTTGATGGTTGTTTTCATCTTGTCATTTCTAATTTTGTGTATTTGCTTTATACTTTTTTCTTAGAACAACTAGTCCCTTGTCCTGTTGATTTAAGAAAAAGTTTGCATTTATTTTTAATATCCTATATTTTGCTTTACAAATTTGATTTCAGCTTTCTTCATTGTTAATTTCTACCTTCTGCTTTTTTGTTCTGCTTTCTTGGCTTGATTTGCTGTTATTTCTAGATTTTTGTTCTGTAGTTTTGCTTTATTCTTATTACTGTTATAATGCTGATTTTCACCTGATATTTGCTTTATCTGACCATTACATTTTCATTATTATTATTTTCAATAAAGTGTGTAATTTTTTGTGTTTCTTTTTGATCTAATAACTGTTTAATAACATGGTATTATACTTTCTAGGTAAAAGTGCCTTCCTCTTTTCTGGTTTTGTTATTTAGTTATAGTTTAACTGTATTTCAATTAGTGAAGGCTTTTGTAATATCTGTATTTTTTTAGAATTTCTTGAGGGTCTTTCACCTCAGATATGGTATATTTTGTGAATATTCCATATGTACTGGAGAAGTTATATTTTATATTACTAAAGCTCAGAGCTTTATGGATTAAATTTTATATGTCTTCTATTAACTTTAAAAATATAATTTGCTTTGGATTTTTTTTAAAAAAAGGGTTAAAGTCTCCTATTATTAACATATTTCTATTTCCTAGCATTCTCTGCAGTTTTTCATTGATATATATTATACTTTTTTGGTTTTTATGTTTTTCCTACTATAATTTGTCTATTCTTCTATTGTCAACCTTTCCAAATATCTGTATTTTTAGTTGTGTCTCTTAAATACAGAAGTGTTAGAATTTCCTTTATCCACCATTCTGAAAATACTTGTATTTTAATAGGTAAGTTATATCATTTACATTTATTGATATGATCAAATGTTTCTGCAATCTATCATATTTTAAATATCATGTTTATATAACCAGTCTTTAATATAAAGCTTTTCACTGTGTCCTACTTTTTGTGGTCTCTTTTTTTATAGGAGAGTTTTAATATTTATTCTTATGGTCATTTTTGTACTGATATTTTCATATGAAAACTTTGGTCCTCTCTTTTAAATTTTTATCTTGTGTTCCTTAGTAAAATATTCATTAAATTTAATTTGTAATCTTTTATTTTCCTTCTCCATGTCCCCGAGCAACCATTTGTAGTAATGACATTTTATTCCAAGTTAATAGCCATGAAGCAATCAAAAACTCATTCTAAATGTTATATTCTCACTACTGTCCCTGAATTGCTTGACACTTTGAGGTATTTTACTGTCAGACTCTGTAACTATCACACATGGCCCTCTTGTCCCTGCAGCCAGCTTTTCACTTTAATATTAAAGTTATGCTCACACCAATTGTTATGATCATATCTCTCTAGTCATTTTGGTTGCCTGAAGAAACTCATTGACTAGCTTCTTTAGGAATTGCTCCTGGGAACAGTATACCCTAATTTTTGCATGTTTGCAGTAGTTTATTTTGGAAAATCTGTCCGAATGGCCATTAAATGCTTTCCAATTTACCTTTATTTCTTATAAGCTGAGCTATGTTAGGTAGATAAATTAAACCTCCTAATATAGTTTCCCTTTATGACATTTCCTAAGGAAATTATGATGAAACTTCAATATAGAATATATATACTTGTAATATTGATGCAATATATATTTGGTACATATGCTATATATTTATGTTATAAATTCATATATAAACATTTACATATAACACATATTAATTTTCAAATTATTTAGTAGACTATGTTGCAAGATCCAAGAATTAAGTAAATAACAATTATTAAAAGGCACAGTATTTTGTCCTTGGAAAGTCCACTTATCCCTTGGATTTCCATGGTTTTCTTTGTAACATATGTTCTTTAAATATATCAATTCTTGCTTTATATTTTAATCCATTATAAGTATTTCTAAATTTCCTAATATTATGTGATTTATTTGAGGGGCAGATACTATATTTCCCTCCTCTTTTTCACCAGAGCCCAACATTGTGCCTAGGATATAAGTGAAACTCATTTATATTTCTTTAATTAAAGTAGGGTCTGAATTTCAAACTATACGTGTGCAGTTATTTTTCAATTACAGTAAGATAAACTACAGTTCCCAAGTAATAATTTTATTTCCTAGTGTAGCTTTGAGAATCTTTGAAAACAGAAGCCCAGCAAACTGCATCCTGTGTGCTGAGAACCACTGAGCGCAGCAGTCATGGAGCCATGAACGAGCATGACAGTCCTAGAACTCCAAGTGTACAGGTAAGACTGGACTGAAGGATGTGGAGACGAGTGCACAAAGAAACGAGACGCCAGGTTATTAAATTCTCTGTAGGATTTGCTAAGGAGTTTGCATTTATCTTGTAAGCAACATTTCTCCCCAAACATTTGGTGTTAAATGATCCACTTGCTAGCACAGTAGATGATACATTGTCACTAAAGCAGTGGTGACGGGGATAGAGGTGGAGATGAGGAAAGACTAGAGAAAGAAAAACATGACAAAGAATTGAGGCCAGAATTAGGAAAACCTTAATGGAAGAGGATATTCTGGATAGATTTAAGATACAAAACAAATAGGATTTAAAGAATTTTGTGACAAATCGAATATTTAAGGTGAGCAGAGGGAATTCTGGTGAGCAAAAGGAGTCTTAGTAAATTCCTCAGATTCCTGACTTTGGTAATTGATGGTTCTTGTACCACTGCTAATGTAAATCATACAGAACCAGGAACAGATACTGAAGGGGTAGAAAATGAATTAAGTTTAGGATGACTGCTCCAAACTACTGACAGTTACTCAATAATTAAAGGGAGATTTAATTACTGTAATTCTAATATAATAATTGGTAGTTTAGAAAGCACTCATTTGATTTTTATTGAGGTTAAGTAATCATCCCCGTTTTACAGATAAATAACCTGAGGATCAAGATAAGATTCTTGTATAAGTCACTTGACTAGACATGATCAGAAATTTGACTTAAACACATGCTATGACTGTAAGTCCCCAGAGGTCTTCACTAACCTCTTGGTATAGGTAGAGTGGACTCATTCAGCTATTTCAGAAAGCTTTGTATCAAGGGTAAAAATAAAATGGTATTCTGGTTATCTTTATTAAACAGAAAACTCAAATGACCATAACATTTATCCCAAAGCATACACATCTCCCCTTACCTCCCAAATACTTAATGTCTTATAATTTTATATCTGCAATAGATTCTTCTTCAGGAGATATTATCACGAAACTATTAGCACCTCCTATAGCAGTCATTTTGCTCCCTAAACAGTTACTTCCAAAGCTGTAAAGTTAAACTCACAAGCTAGCTAAAACACTGTCAACTCTGCTTACCTACAAGATTTTCATTGTATTTTTGAAGTGGAATTCTGTCTGTTTTGGAACCCAGAATGGAAGAATTAGAAAATGAAAACGTTCCTTCTCCAAGAGTTCACTTACCTCTGTTTACCTTTATGTTCTACAGAGCCAGCTGAGAGTCTGTCCAGAGGAGACCCAAAGCCAGAGAAGCTCCTTTTTTTCTTTGTTTCAATCACATCATTCTCTAGAGACACAAATTCATCAAGAAGCAAGAATTTTGCTGCCAGATCAGTGGCTGATTTTTCTTCCCTAGCTGTGGGTGGTGACTGCACATCTGTGACTCTCAAGTCAAAGACCTGTTGGGCAGGAAATGTTGTTGCATTCACTAAGAAAAAGAAACCTCGAATGTGTACAATAATCTGCATTTTCCTTTTGCTACCTTTAGCTGACATGCCTGTCATCACACTTGATTTCTTGTGGAGTCATGCTCCAGAGAGAAAGACTTTCAGGGACCGTAACACATAGAGAAGAGGTATATCCAAAAGAAGTTAAAGGAAAACAACAACAACAACAACAACAACACACACACACACACACACACACACACAAAGGGGAACTTTTATTTAAAGTTCTGACTCTAAAATTTAGTATATAACTAATCATTTTTTCTGATTGTTTCTAAGGAACAACTACATCATCCTTTCTGATCACTCCCATAGCACTTTATCTATCAGTCTTCCATCACTGCACTCATTACAGTTTCCTTTTTATTAGACTGGTTATAATACATTTGGATTGCTTATTAGATAGTGAGTAATCTGAGGATAACGATTGAGTCTCATCAGTCTTTTATTTGCTCTATTCACTGCTTTGCCCAGTATTTTGCTTATAGTTAGTACTCAGTACATTTCTGATGAATATTTATTGAGTGAATTATAAAGAAAAATAAAACTCATGCTATCTTTTTTCCATCACTCATACATACCTTATTGATTTAAGTCACTGAGCTCCCACTAGGCACCAGGTTCTACATTAGATGCCAGGTGCATAAAAATTAACACAATCCAGTCTCTGACTTCAGGTTGCTTACTAATTCCATTCCTGTGATTTATTAACAAATATTCATGTGTCTCCAATGAGTTAGTGCTAGTACAGTGACTTTACTGTCCCATTTCTTGTTTATTTATTTGTCTACTACACATATTGAAACTTTGTACTCCATCCAAGTCTTAAAAGTAAGGGTGTTTAGTTGCTGAAGTCTATCTTTTCTTTTTCTAAGCCCAATGACAGCATTCAACAAAAAGTGCTCCTATTGACAATTCAAATCATTGTGTAATACAGGGGATATTACTTCTTTTCCAGAAGTCTGCGAGTATTCTCTGATGGGAAAAGACTTCCGCTTGAGGGATCTCATCTTTTTCTTTATGTTCTGTCTTTCTTCTTGGATTATTTCTTCCATTCTCTTTCTATTCTCTTTTTCCTCAATAAAATGAGTGGCATTTTCCAAGCCTTTCCATCATTGGCTCCAGCAACTCTCTTTTGAAATACTTATAGTCTGTCACATACAGACTCAAAACTATGGAGCTTCCTCTTTCCTAGACCAGTCAAGTCTGCAGTAAGTCTGGTCAGTTCTTGCAAGACCTCTCTTACTCCTGCTCTGACTCCCTTCACTAGTGACTTGTATCAGGTCCTCTTTACCATATAGTATACATTCTTAATTACCTTGTAATAACTTGTTTCTCTAGCTCCCTTTTTTCTATTCTTTACAGAATAGTGCCATAAAGTTAATTGTCTCCAAACACCACTTTCCTCATATAAAGAAAACAAAAAATCCCTCATAACTCTTTGTAAATTATCCTGTGAAGTCCTCAATATGATGCCAAATTCCTCTTAAATATCAACTTCTATTACTTTCCTATGTAAGCTTGACAATATAGAAACTGGAGAAGGATGCTATAATAATGAGAAAGAAATTAAAGAACAGGTGACAAAACTTCAAAGGGCCAAGATAGATTATTAGCTCTCAGAACATCCTTCCAACTAACATATAAAATAGAGTTTTGTTTCTTTTTAAAGATATTCTTAACTCTCAGATTAAAAAAACTCATATAAAACTTGTCCTTTGGTGAAGTGCCTTTCAGATTATTGTTTTACATTATTTAAAAAGTACAAACAACAATTTTTAATAAGATCAAAGAAGCCAAATTATTTTTTCTCTGTGCAGAAATGTCCTTACACTTCTTTTCCTTTGTATTTTAGTCATGGCAGCAAGAAAAAATTTGTACAATAATAGAAAGTTTTATCAAAACTACTCAAATTCTGATATGTAAACAATTTCAAGTTTTACACCAAAGTACTTCATCTTGATGTAATTGATTGAATTATAAATATGGCTGAAATGACAATGAATTTTCATTTATGCTTTTTTGTTCAAGGAATACAAACCTTTATTATTATTTCCAGTTTTTCTGACAGTTAGATAACTGGCTTTATCTGAATTCATAGTGAGAACAATAGAAAAAAAGCCTATTTCCTTGATTTATCTTATCAAGTCACCTCCCTATCTATCAGCAGCACTTACTTCTGATGCTAGTAGAAATGGCTTATGTTCATTAAATATATATGGTCCCCATGAACAGACACTTCTCCAAATAAGAAATTCAGATGGCCAACAGGCACATGAAAAGATGCTCCACATCGCTTATCATCAGGGAAATGCAAATTAAAACAGCAATGAGATATCATCTCACACCAGTTAGGATGGCTAGCACCCAAAAGACTAGCAACAACAAATGTTGGTGAGGATGCAGAGAAAGGGGAACCCTCCTACACTGCTGGTGGGAATGTAAATTAGTTCAACCATTGTGGAAAGCAATATGGAGGTCCCTCAAAAAACTAAAAATAGGAATACCATTTGACTCAGTTATTCCACTCTTAGGAATATACCCAAAGTGAACAAGATCACAGATTCAAAAAGACATATGTACCCCTGTGTTTATTGCAGCACTATTTACAATAGCCAAGATATGGAAGCACTTAAGTGTCCATCAGTAGATGAGTGGATAAAGAAGATGTGGTACATATAAACAATGGAATATTATTCAGCCATAAGAAGAAAACAAATCCTACCATTTGCAACAACATGGATGAAGCTAGAGGGTATTATGGTCAGTGAAAAAAGCCAGGAGGAGAAAGACAAGTACCAAATAATTTCCCTCATCTGTGGAATATAAGAACAAAGCAAAAACTGAAGGAACAAAACAGCAGCAGACTCACAGACTCTAAGGAGGAACTAACAGTTACCAAAGGGAAAGGGGGTAGGGAAGGTGGGTGGGAAGTGAGCGACAAGGGGATTAAGGTGTATTATGATCAGCACACATAATGTAGGGGGATCACGGTGAAGGCAGTAAAGCACAGAGAAGACAAGTAGTGGCTCTATAGCATCTTACTATGCTGATGGACAGTGACTTCAAAGGGGTATGTGGGGGGACTTGATAATATGGGTGAATGTTGTAAAAACCTTCATAAGATTGTATATAAATGATACCTTAATAAAAAAAATACGGTCCCTTAACCTAGTTTCCATTACCTCTGTTGCTACATCCGCTGAGAGGACTTTTCCTGAACTCCATAGCATCAATGTCACAGTCAGGATAAAATGTGCACTTGCCAATCTCCAGTCGAGCATCTGAAGGTCACATACATCAGGATTAACATCATTAGTTTTGTGTATAAAGGTAGAAAGCAAAAGTTCCTATAAAGCTTGTTAAACATAGGGTATAGACCAAATTATTCAGCTTCTATGTGCTGGAGTACATCTCTGCAAAACTTAAGTAATAATTAATAGAAGCTGTCAATTTCCTGGAATGAATTCTCTAAAGGCTTCATTTCCATGGAAACCTAAATTGGGGTTGAACAGCTATAATCATAATTTAATTAGAACTAACCCAAGTCTGAGAAATCTAGTCTGTATAATTTTATTATTTGGCTGCCTAATTCAGGGATTACAACCTCATGTACCTACAGGGAAATCCATGAGATTGGCCAAGTATGAGAGCATGCAGCCTGATGAGGTTTGTGGTGAACCACAGAGAATGTGCTGTACTTAGAAGCACTTAAATTAAAAATTTCAATAACACCACATATTGAATAGGAGAATATTTTTATGTCCTGTGTTTTGTAGTATCTCAAGCAAAATTCAAAGGTAGACATCTTATAGCAGAAATGTCAGATTTCATTATTATCAAAACTGAAAACTTCTATATGGTAAGATAAAGCAAATAAAATTTAGAAAATTACAAATGCAATCTATTTTCAAGATATATAAAAAAAGAAAGATTAGAATTTTGAATATTCAAATTATTATAAACTTAAAAAAAATACACATGCAAGTAAAAATGGGCCAAAGTTATGAATGGATATTTCATAGGAAAGGAATAGCTTAATGGAAGACAAACATCCAAAAACATACATAACCTATTTAAGGCCAAAAAAAAAAAAAAAAGAGAGAGAGAGAAATGATATACTAGTTCATATACAATGTTAGAATGGTATTTGGAAACAGAAAAACTTAAGCAATGCTGGTGAAGTTGGAAATGGATCAGTCACTTGGAGAAAAACGGACAATAACTGAATGGTTGAAAAAGGTCATTTTCTAAACAGAACGTATTTATTTTACTTCCTGTATATAGCCCAGAGAAACTCTTACAAATGTGTAAGGAGATCCGTATGTGAAAAACTGAAATCAACCTACCTACCATACTCAAGAAGAAACTGATTTATCATTTGGGGTATTTCATATTATGTACTCAAAGCGAATGACTTAACCATGTAATATATGTGTGCCTACTGTTAAAACAATTGACTTAAATGTTATGTGTTTATATGCATAGATTTCAAGGAAACACTTTAGGGGGCAAATGGGAAGTTATAGAAAATGCATATGGCATGCTACTAGTTACCTAAATTGGAAATAACACAAAGCAATTCCATATATTTAGAAATCTATACATATAATTAAAGTATAAATCAGTGGAACTTGATTCATGACTATGATTGCCTCTACAGAGGGAGGGAAGTAAATAAGAGTATGGAAGGAATCATAAGAGACTAACTTTTTATCTATAATTTTTTAAAAAGAAAATATGTCTAAATATTACATTTATAAATTCTGTGTAGTAAGCACAATGATGTGTCATTTATAAATTCATGGTTTTTTAAGCTTAAAAAATCTCTATAGCCAATTAAAGCTGATCTATGGCCTATCACAGGTTTGCTCGCTGCCAGCCTGACCGCTGGTAAAGGAGGAGGTGTTGCCTGGCATAGGGAAGATCACAGGCTGTGGGCTACAACAGAATGAACTTGAACCACTTAGTGTGTGGTATTGGGATAGTCCCCTAGTCCATCCTTTATGAATGAGAAGTCTCTGCAAATCTATTTCCTTAAAAAAATCATTTGGAAAGCCCCAGGGAGCAAAAAGGAAGGGATTCTAGGCTGGATTTGAAGAACTGGTTTAAATCTACTTTTTGCTTGAGTGTGACCTTGGATGTGTGTCATTTAACCTACTTGGGCTTTATTTTCCATATTTGTGAAGTGAGGAGTAATTCTCACATCAAAAGAGCTTTAAGAGTCTTGGATTGATTCATGTATAACTTCTTAATCCAATATAGAATGTATAACATACGTGAAATAACATTTATACAGTATCACTAAATATTTCTTTAATAACTACATTTGCTTTGGTGTGACCTAAGAAGATTTTTCTGAAACTTCTTTAAAATACTGTTGCTGTGAAAACAGTGTAGATTTTTGTAATAAATGTTATTTGCTGTAATACAGACAGATAAGTACTTTACATAGAGTGGCATCTGCATTAATCATGTCTATTATGACTTAGAATGGAGAAAAACTATTTTAGCTTTGTCAATAACATTCATTTATCAAATATAATTTTAATTTTCATGTGATGCAGTCTAGACTAATTTCTTCATTACATTACCAATTAGTCTATTTTGGAATCTTGTCACATCATGTTAGTGATTAGTGACTTCTCTATATTCCACCCTTTCTGAAAGGGAACAGCAAATTATATGTTCTCTTTCTGACAAACTGGTATCTGAGTATCTGAGTTGAGTTTTTTGGTAAGTATCATAAAATAACAAATTACGAGTATGTCTCTAAATTGAGACAGTGGAAAAATAAGAAAGAGTGTAATAGTTATTTGGTAAAAATAACAACTTAAAAAAATGCATTAGCCATTTTTGAGAAAATCAGCAACTGAATCATATTTTTTCCTTCTGATTTTACTAATGTCTCTTTGACATTCCTCAATGTAAAGGAAGATACATTAAAAATGTAACTAGTTTAAAAATGATCTTGTATTTCTGGCGTATCTTTTTTAAGTAGCTCTTTCATTCAATCAAAGATACACTACAATTATGATGTTTTCTTTCCGCATTTTTTATCATCTTTCAAGCAGGTTACAAAGTGTGAAGTTGCCCATTTTTTAAAGCTTTCTATGTGGATTTCCTTTATCTATTTTTATGTACATTTACTAGCCAGGTTTCTCTTCATCTCTGCAGTCTTATAAATGGCACAGGATGGGTGTTTATAATATTGATGATTATGTCTAAGGCATATATTTTTGTACTTGGGTGTATATAGGAAAAAAATTGTAATGTATCATCTTACAGATAACCACATCCTGACTATTTGGATAGGGAGATGTAAAAATAAATCCTGAGTTTAAATACACACATTTAATGGTTTAAAGTCATGCTTGTAGCCAGTTAACCAAAGGCTAAGTTCCTAAATATGGCATTTGGTACACTAATGAAAACAAACACCCTGGCACCTGCCACACAAAAGACATTTGATTAACTAGTTGAAACTTGATTGCTACAAAATTAGAAACAGAGGAAATTATAGGGAGGGAAGGAAAAGACTGGTTCAGCTTCATTTCCCTATTTGTTGATAGTGGATAAATATAGCCTATGATTTAAAAATCTACTGGGCCCCACGTATGCTCCAGATCATAGAAAACACTCAAGGATGTTCATTGTGTGAATACACCAAAATGTAGGTGTTTGCAATTTTTTTCAGTATATTAATAGTTTTTATTGAGTAATTTCTGAATAATGTTCCTCTGAATTGTGAGGAGCTTCAAAAGAGACAGTAGGCATGGGATCTGCCTTAAGAAGATTAGGTGGGTATTTCATCACTAGCCAATTGATCTATCATTTGTGTACATTTTTACTTTTTAAATAATACCACGGAATAAACAAACATCTTATATCATGTAACATCTTCACCTTTGTCTCAAAGACTTTTCACATATAAGAATTTGTTACATCTCAAAGGGACCTCCAAACTGGCTGGAGTGGTGGTGGAGGGAGCAGGGTGTGGAGGTATGAAGTTTTGTCATTCAATTTTGGGAAACAACATATGTTCTATATTCCCTTAGAACACTGAGAGTGCATATTGACCTATTAAAGGCTCTGAAAGTAGAGTAATAAAGAAACTACATTTACACGAGAATTAAATGAGAAATCTGTCCAAACAGAAAGATGTTTGCATTATGGATAATTAGCCCTGGAATGGGTCACTGTAAAAATTTTGCTATTGTAAAATTTTTTCTCAAGTGGGCTGGGGCAGAAAAAGAAAACTTTGATGATCACTGATCTAAAAAAGAAAGAACAATTTTAATGACAGGAGGTTTTAGAGTAAAAGAGGACTAAGCTGAAAAGGAGAAACAATCAGAGCCAATCTCTGTTCTAATGTACTTTTTAATAAAACTGTAAAGCTATATGCTTCCGAGGGCTGGTGTTGAAGAAAAACAAACTACTCAGGTGATCAAGGAAATTTCTCTTCCACCGTTAACTTTTTCATTAATATCTGATATAGGTATAGTCACCAAATTATTAGAAAGTCATAAAAAGCACTGAGTTTGGCAATAAATCTTGATAACTTCTGTGAATCTCTTATTTACCCTAATTTCTTGATTGGGAATATTCAAGAAATAGACTCTCGCCCACTCCTAGTTTTCAGCAAAAATGAAAAATAAAGGATTTAACTAAAGTAAATGATAAATGACTTAAAAACTAACTAAGCTTTTATATTTTTATACTTTCTTTCCACTTTGGCAGAGCACGAGTAAGTGAGACATAATAGGAGATGTAAAGCGTCCCTAGTTCAGACTCTGTGATACGACCAGGTGTGCTCATCCACAACGCGGCTCACAGTCTTCTTTCTCTGACACCAGTGGTGTTCTCTAGGCAAGTGGTGAGTCAGTGTGGTCCGTGATTAAATCCACAAAACAGTAAGTTCTTCTTTGGCATACCCTGTACCCTGCCCTATAAATTATAGCCACTCAGGTCTTTTTGATAGTAGAGAAAAATTTTAGGAATAGTAGATAACAGAGTGACTATAGTTTTTATTTTCAAAGAGGGCCTAAAAGGGACAATGCTTAACACAACGCCTGTGTGGCTAGCTGTAAAAAAACACCTAGTCTGCCAGCTGTGAGATAATGGCCCTGCCTTAGCTTGGATGTATGACTTTCCTCTCTAGACCAGCAAAATGAGGTTGGTCTAACTGACTTCTAATGTGCCTCCAGCTTTTTAAAAGTCTGTTGGTGAATCTCATTCTTTTTGGGTGGAATCACAGCCCTTGTAGATAATGATAGCTGGCACAGATTTAGCTAGGAAAACCTTTCTGCTGCCCTCAAATCAGCTGGAGTCTGTGCATAAACTTGCATCCAGGTTTTGACATCAATATGCTCATCTTCAGTTAGTGGATAAGTGTCCCTGCTGGGCTGTTCATTGGTATAGTGGTCCTGAGCTAGATGTTTAAGCTGACAGACTTTTCCAATAAAGCTCACTTTATGAATTCACAGAATTTTAATTAATTTTAGTTAATTTAAAATTATTTACTCAATTTACAAATAGCACAAACCATTATGGATTTGGCTTAAGGTTGCCAAAGAAGAGCAACAGAAATACTTAATTTTACACTTAATATTACTAAAGTATGTCAAAATACACATTTATTTATGAAAAAACATTGCATCATTTTAATTCTTATTTTATCATTGGTAAAAATGTTGATGAGAACTCTAAATTGTGCATGAAAACAATTTGTAAACTCTAAGCTAATGTGAAAAATGATTATAACTGAGTTGAAGACAGGCCTTTGAAGCCAAGTCCTTCCAAGGTACATGAAGCTTCCACTCAAAAACCACTTAGGGAATCTGGGGCCATTCAGAGAGACATTCTGCAAAACTTAGGGTAAACAAGCAATGGGAAACATTACAGTTTGACATTACACTGGTGACATATATATTTCAATGAGTGAGAGTATTTGAATAGAGTGTTGAAGAAGGTTGTGACTGGTTTTCTTTGATGAGCAAAGCAACGAATTGTCTGTGACACCTGCTGCTGCAAACAGATGTAGACCAGGTGACTCAGGCCCCCTCCTTATGGGAGTTTCGGGGCCACAGCCTTTAGTGGATTTGGCCTCACAAAGAAGAGAACTGAACATGGTGGCGGTACTTAGATCTTTAGAAGTGGAGAATTAGTTTTGGATCCTTGTAAACATAAATAAGAGATTTAAAATCACTGAGGATTTGCACCTGAGTAACTAAATTACAACTTGTAGCTTTGTCACTAACATACATACATATATATATGACCTATATCATTATCACAAATACATCTGAGAACTACTTACAGTGCTTAGACATTTATTTAAACTTGTTCTTGTGAAATTTGTTATTTTTGGTAAATTTTGTGATGGCATTTTGCTTTATGTTTTGAAGAAGAAGGTACAAAGAGAGACAGAAGTTTAACATTTCCCATTTTTTAAAATTAAAATATCAGGAATGTGCTCTTTCCCATTTCTCATTGCTTTTCAATCAGTAGTAGTAAATTTTCCAAAATCACAAAGCCAGTTAGAAGAAGAGCCAGAAAAACAACTTAGATTTTCATACTCTTAGTTTCATGCTCCTTCAAGTTAACCTATTTGTAGAAGTATAAAACATTTTTCCATCTCCAAAACAAATTGCTTAAAAAGTAAAATGTTTATGGATGAGGTGCTCTTAAGGTGGCTGACACCAGCATTTGTAAAGGACTTTTCTTGAATGCTAGAAATCAGAAAGAATGAGAATTTACTAGTATATGTGTTAACTGATTTTATTCTATTTGGCACCATTTTCATTCTTTTTCAGATACTATTGCCTTCCAAAAACCTCAAAATTTTCTTGTTAAATATCAGGTTGCATGTTCAATAAAGTATTTAGTTGTTACTGTAAACTCTTTGAGAGTAAGAACTATGTCATATTCACCATTGTATCTCAGCACCCAACATAATGCTTGGCATAGAGTCATGTTATGTATTGAATGAGTGAATGAAGCAGCCTTATGTGGTTGGTTAACAGGAATGCAGGACATATATCCACATCACAGTTCATTGATGTGGAAGCAAAGGTGTAGAATAGAGAAGAGATTTGCTCAGGTTTTATGCCTGTAGTACTAAGTGATGAAGTTCATGCCAGAATCTCAGTAAAACCATGAATGTTTCATTCTAATGAAATGGATGTTTCTCATTCTGATGAAAGGTATACACATCAATATTCTCTAATAATTAACCCAGTAGAGTTTAAAATTTTCCCTTATCAGATATCAATTTGTGCTTAGTCCCTTAAGTTACTCTAAGTTTTCTTAATACTATATCACCTGGAAATAGATAAGAACTCTAGTGTATAATTGTAGACAATTCTGTAAAGTGGGTCTGTTGTTTAATTCTAATACTTAAAAATGGGAAAACCAAGCATCTTTAAAATTATGGATGGGGCAAAGTTGCACATAAATGTGGTAGAGTTGCACATAAATATGCTTCTTGGCCACTTGAAACACAAGCAATTTTATCTGGCATGAAATGATTTTCAAAGGGTGAAGTTGGATAAATACAGTTAAATATGGCATATATAAGCCTTAAGAAAGTGTGGACTCTCACCACCTCCTTTACACTTTACCCTACTTTCTCCTCATATATAATATTTAATAAAAATATTAACTTACATTTAATTTACAATAAACTAGTGAATGTAATCAATGAAAAAAGACTCTATAAAATGTACATGAAGGGCCAAAATATGAATTTTACAATACTCAACAGGATGCATTTATTAGATATATACTGTATATCAGGCACCAGGTAAGTAGAAAATGAGTCTAACCCTCTCCTTTCCTCCAGTTACTCACAGCCTGGTGGAGGTGGAAACCCTTTAACCACTTGGCGCTGCCCATGGATTACCTCCTGCAAAAGCAGACTCTTCTGGGAACGCTTCCATTTCCATTTCCATTTCAAGTACAATTGCGTAAATAACGTTTTTTAAAAAACATTTCATAGTACTTTATTATTTTGAAATTAATTTATCTCTTTTCATCCTCACACTGGTCATGTAAGATCTATATGGAAAACATAATTCCATTTTTTAGTAGGCCAACTGAGACGAGATGAGTTAGTTTAGAACCCTGGTCTCTCTCTAACTCCTGCTACTGTATGTATACTTTCTAACACAATGAAGTGATTTAGTAGAAAGAGGTTGGACTCTAAGTTTATACAGACATGGATATGACTCCTGACTGGGCATGTTACTTAGCCTCTCTGATTTAATATCTTCATCAAGGAAAATGGAGCAAAGACTCACTCTATAGGTTTGTTATAAAGGATTAGAAATAACAGGTAAAGTGACTAGCACGAGTTGGTTACACAATAACTTACAATTATTATCCCAATAGTGCCTTTTGAAATATGGTGAGCTCTCTAAATATGTCTTATTCTGTCCTAATGCTTTTTTATTTTTATGAAAAAATTTATTTTTAAAATCCTTGTTCATTTTAAGGAAGAAAATTAGTCCTTACAGTTATGGCAGAATGAAGACCCAGGGATGCTGAGTGGAAGGTGTTGGATCCAGACCCGGGATGAGAAGTTTGGTTTCCTGACTCCGAAGCTTGCGTTCCTCCAACGGCAACACTGAATCTAGACACAATCTGTTGGTGGGTAGGGGCCACAGCAGACAGACTTTTCACAAGGAGGTTACATCAGATGATGCCTAAAGATGAGCCCCAAGATTCCGAGATATTGAATCCTCATTCGATAATATAGGAAATACTGACCGATATGGAGGCTTCCCTACGCCATTCTTATGGACAGTATCTCTGGCACTCCTCGTTCTTTTGTCTCTTTCAATAGGAACAGATTGCTGTTGAGCCCTACTCTGTGCTTCAGGTTTGCCTAAAGTTGCACAACTACATAGTGACAGAGTTGGGGCAATATTTTGAGACTGCTTGCTTTGAGTTCTCTTCCTCTGAGACAAGCTCAATTAATCTGATTTTATTAACCAAGTGTTCAAATCATTGAATGTATTTGAACAAGAAGTTAAAATTACAGCCCTGAGGTCCCCCAACATAGTCTACTATTTATATCTCCTTCTCTGTTGCCCGTGATTCATTACATAAGAATCAGTTCAAATTCTTGAGAAATAAGGGGGAGAAAGCAAGTGTTAATCTTAAACAAAGTATTGAATGAAGCAACAGTGCAATTCACTTCTAAAGAGGATACTTAAATTTGTATGTCCAGAAGGCTTTCCTTAGAAAAGTTCTGTAAGATAGTTGCAGAGTGCTATCAAAGTAAAGAGAAGACACAAAATGTGCCTGATGTTTTTGGGGAGAACATTAAATATAATCCTACCAGTTCTATAGCTTGTATGGGCATTAAAATCACCATAAATCATTATTAAAATTATTTAATTTCTAGAAAGATACCTCAGAAACAAATAATCATACTCCTAAACCTATAGAATCTGTAACTATAATTCAAATGAACAATATTTTGCATTGCTAGACTGAATTTATTGGGTGTACACTATTTCCACGGATTAGAAGCTGAAACAAAATTTTCAATTTGTTCTTTAACAGAACACAAATGTTTCAGACTAACTCTCAACTCAATAACTTAATAGCAAGAGCACTTGAAATACTAAAGAATAGACATCTAAGTCTACTCTAAATTGTTATTAATATTATGCCTGCATATTTGAGTCTTATAAGAAGAAAAATAGGATGCTTCAACTTTTAAGAATACAGATTATAGAATTAAATTTTGCTTAATTTAGGGATGTTTCTTAAGCTCCAATTTTGACAGAAATAAAGAGAAAAATTTCTTTTCTACCTAGGTTTTTAAAAGTGGACCACTTTTGTACATTAAAAATTTTCCTAATATCAGACATCTTTGATGAAAAAAATTAATAAATTAATAAAATTAACATACACATAGAATCATTATCTTGAGTTTTCTTTCTTTTTTTTAAATGGACAATAAAATAAAAAATAATATAAATATGAAATGTTTGAGCAAACATTTAGCTCCATCTTAATTTCATATAACAAAAATACCTTCTTAGTTTCTCTACTCATTTTATAGAGGGAAATAGTTCTAAAAACATATGCAATTTTCATAAAGTCAAGATATAAGCAAAACATTTAAAAAGCATATGAAAATAAAAAATAGTTAAAAAGAACACAAAATCTTTATCTTCAACTTACCTTGTGAAAAATCAGGAGATTCTAATTTTAGAGTTCTGTCTGTGCAGTTTCTCCCAAACTCAGTCCTGATGGTAAGTTTTCTCTCTGAGTTTTTATAGTCTCAGTTATACACCCCTTACTCCAATCCCTGCGTTTGCTTTCTCTTACATCATTTATAGATTTTCCACGGAACATTTTCCCAAGCCTCTCTTCAATCTTCCTCTCTCTCTCTTATTCTCTTTTCTCTCTCTCTCTCTCTCTCTCTCTCTCTCTCTCTCTCTCTCTCTCTCTGTGTGTGTCTGTCTCTCCATCTCCTCCTCTCTCCCTTTTCCTCTCTTAATTTTTCTTTCTACATTTATTCTGTCTAGTGCTGTGACCATAGTATATAAGTAACAATGAGAGCTCAGGCTCTGGAAAATTTAAATATACATTTAGTATTGTGTTCAGCCTTAGATCCATCACCTCTTCCTGAAGTTCCAGTCCAGCTCTGGTAATTACAAATCCTATTTGAGAAATAAAGTGCACTAATATTTGTTAAAAATACTATGTCAAAGTAAGGGTATTTCAAAATAAGACTTAAGCAGATTAGAATCAGGAATCCAAAGTGATTTATTGGGTATATATTTTGAACCCTCAAATTAAATGATTATGTATGGAAATAGTGTATAGCTTCAGACTCAACCAGGTGCACAGCCCTATGTCAGTGAAGCTGACAGTCACTTCATAATTAACATTGCTATAGTGGGAATGCCCTCACTGACAGACCTATAAATACTGAACTGTGACATTGGACTATAAATGCACACTTTGCAATTCATTCTTATCTTGCTCTTGCTCTCCAGTATTTTAATTTTCTTTCAACCAAACTATTCCTGCCTCTGTCTGAAAATTTCCTTCATTGTTATTTCCTGCTAATCACATTTGTAAACTTACAAAAAATTGTAAACAAAATGCATTATTAAACCCTAAAGGTAATATTTTATGTTGTTAGGTCATTATTAGCTCTTTTCATTCACCAGTAGATCCCCATTTGACAGATAAAACACTGAGGCTATATAAACCAAGTGACTTAATGAGGTCACAGAGCTAGGAAGTAGCTGGGCCAGAATTCAAATACAGATCTTCATAATTCTATATCCAGTTCTTTCCCTACTACTTCATTCTGTCTGTTTGAAAAACTAGAAAAGAGAATCCAGGTAAGATTATGTTTTACACAAATAAATTTATCCATTTTGGTTTTGCTTAAAAAGCCATTTAAAAATACTACTCACTAGTGTAGGAACAATTACATGATTAATTTGGATCTAGATGGGGAACTGACCAGAGCATACTGAATTGGTAGGACAGTAAAATGCTTCATTTTTATGAAGGGTTTCCAGGGATAACATATGTCTCAACAAGCTTGAAACTTGAGTAGCTGGCAGTGATAGTTCACAAGTCGAGATAAAAATACAGCCTAATTGTGGACCCTTGTTTAGACATTACTGCCATAAAATGATTATGTTAGCTTCAATCCACATGATGGAAAACTTGCAATATATATGTAACGGATGCATCGTAATGCTACCAGAAGCCAATATTCTTGACGTACCTTCTACCCTTATTTGAAACGCCTCCCTCAGCATGCTGACAAGTGATATCTGTGGCTGATTTATTCCAGATCTGTCCCTGCTTAGACAGTCCAAAGATTCCACCCTATTTGTGGATTTTGTTGACCTAATTCAAAAGTTTGACTTAACTGTTCTGCAGCAGTAGAAATAGCAACAGTTCATTCCAGGAACATAGCCATGGTACATTTAAGATAATTATACAGACTTCAGCACATTATATATTCCTCTGTAAATTACTTATGTTATAGAGAAATTCTATTACCTTAAAAAGAATAGAAATGGGAGGTTATGAAGAAATAGAGAATAAACATCCAGCGATAGGTGGGAGAAACAAAGATGAGAAAAGGAGAAAATATTAATGAAAAAATTTCAGCTAGTATATTATTATTTAATTCCCATAACAATCTTGCCAAGGAGGTATTATTATTATTCATATATAACAGAGATATTATTATTATTCATACTATAACAGATGAGAAAACTGAAGCTCAAATATATGAAATGGGAAGCTCAAATGTTCACAGCTTAAAAGTGATGAGACCAGTAGTTGAATATTGCTCTATTTATTGGTCAGGTTTCTGGCAGGAAAGAGTTGGCACTTTCGAACTGAGTAATTGGAGAAGAATTTAATGTGGGCAGGGTATAGAGGAACCAGAAAGAACAGTGCAGTACACTGAACCAATAATAGCCAAGTATCCCTGCTTTTGACGGCTTAAAGTTGACCTCAGGGACCCAGAGGCAGAGATATATGAGTGGGCAACTTTGCTTGGCAGAAGTGTGACTTTTCATCAAGGCACACAGCCAGTCAAGAGCAATCTGACTGCAACTGCTACCATAGCCTGCATTACTATCTCATCCACATTTCCTAACATTTTTTTCAGGGTCAGATTTATTTAGGCATAATTTATATACACAAGATTTACCCTTTGAAAGTGTTCAGTTAGATGAGTTATGAAAAATGTAGATAGTATGCAGTCTTTATTACAATCAAGATACAGACCATATCTATGCACCCACCCCTACCAAATTTCCCTCATATTCATTTACAGCCAAACCCCTACCCCTTGCCAACCCCCAGGTCCTGGTAACCACCAATTTGATTTCTGTTACTTATAATTTTTGTCTTTTCCTGAAGCCTGTAGGAAATTACACAACATGTAGTCTTTGCTGTATGGTGTATTCACGTAAAATATTGCTTCTGAGATTAATCCACATTGCAAAATGTGTCAGCACTTTGTTTCTTTTTAACGAGAGTGGTCTATCGGCCGGAGGATGTGCCACAATTTGAATTTACCAGTTGGTGAAAATTTGTGTTGTTTCCAATTTTTGGTGATAATGAATAAAGCTTCCATAAACATGAATAGAGAGGTCTTTGAGTAGATGAATGTTTTTATTTCATCTGAGCAAATACACAGATATGGGATTCCTAAATCATGTGGTAAGGATATATTTAACTTAATTAGAAATAGCCTAACTAATTTCCAAAGTGGTTCTACCATTTTGCATTTCCACCAGAAATGTATGTGAATTCCAGTTGATCAACATCCTTGCTAGCATTTGACATTCATGCCATTTTTTAAAAATTTAGCCATTCTAATTTATTAGAATAGATATTGATATTCCAGGGTGTTAATTTGTATTTCCTAAAATTTAATAATGATTAATAAGATTAATGAAGTTACTTAAAAAGATTAATAATGTTGAGAATCTTTTTTTGTACTTATTTTCCATTTGTATATCTTTGGTGAAATGTTTGTTTAAATCTTTTGCTGAACATTCAGTTTTGAGTTCTTTATATATTCTAGATACAAGATTTTTATGAGATTTGTGTTCTGTATTTTTTTTCCCATTCTTTGGTTTGTCTTTTCATTCCCATAACAGTTTCTTTCACAGAACAAGCATTTTTATTTTGATGGAGTCGTTAGCCACTTTTTTTTTTAATGGATCATGTTTTCTGTGCCTAAGAAATCATTTCCTCACTAATGGTCGAAAAATATTTTTCCTATGTTCCCTAATGCAAGGTTTTCAAAATTCTTTTGGCTATTCTAGGTCCCTTACATTTCCATTCATAAAAATTTAATGATTGGTTTATCAATATATACAAAAAGCTTGCTGGGATTTTGTTAGGATTTCTTTGAATTTATTGATCGATTTGGGAAAGCTTGGCATCTTGGCAGTAATAAATCTGATCTGTGAACACAGTATAATTCCCTCTTATTTAGATCATGGATTCCTCTTAATATTGTCTTTTTAAAAAAAGCATACAAATCTTGCACATTTTTGGTTAAATTCATCCCTAATTATTTTGTTTATTGAGACATAATTGATATATAACATTATGTAACATTCAGATGTTCAGTGTAATGATTCAGTATTTGTATATACTGTGAAATGATCACCACAGTAAGTCTAGTTATCACTCATCACCATGCAGTTACAAGGTTCCTTTTTTTCATTTGTGGTGAGGTCTTTTAAGATTTTGAAACATTCAAATATGTACTACAATATTATCAGCTATAGTCACCATGCCATATACTATATCCCCATGACTTATTTTATCACTAGAAATTGGTATCTCATCTTTCTTTACCCATTTTGCCCATTCCCCAAACCCCCAAACCCCAGGGAATCACCATTCTGTTGTTTGTATCTGTGAATTTTGTTTTGTTTGGCCTGTTGGCTATTTGCATGTTTCTTTTGGAAAGATGTCTATGCAAATCTTCCACCTATTTTTTAATTTAAATTTTTTTTGGCTATTGAGTTGTATGAGTTCTTAATTTTTTTGATATTAATCCCTTATCAAATATATAATTTACAAATGCTTTTTCCCATTCAGTAGGTTCCCCTTTCATTCTGTTGATAGTTTCCATTGCTGTGCAGAAGCTTTTCAGTTTGATGCAATACAACTTGTTTATTTTTGGTTTTATTGCCTTTGCTTTTGGAATCAGACACAGAATATCATCACCAAGACCAATGTCCATGAACTTATCTCCTATGTTTTCTCCTAGGAGTTTTATGGCTTTAGGTCTTACATTGAAGTCTTTAATCCATTTTGAGTTAATCTTTTCTGTGGTGTAAAACAGCAGTCAAGTTTCATTCTTCTGCATATGGCTCTTCAGTTTTCCCAACACTGTTTATTAAAGAGACCATCCTTTCCCCATTGTACATTTTTCACACCTTTGTTGTAAAACAATTGACAATATATGTGTGGGTTTATTTCTGGGCTTTCTATTCTTATTCCTTTTCAATGTATCTGTTTTTATGCTAATACTATACTGTTTTGATCACATAGCTTTGTAATACCTTTTCAAATCAGGGAGCATGATGCCTCCAGCTTTGCTCTTCTTTCTCAAGATTGCTTTGGCTATTTGGGGTCTCTTATGGTTCCATGAAGATTTTAGGATTGTTTGTTCTATTTATATGAAAAATGCCACTGGGATTTTGATAAAGATTGAATTGAATCTGTAGATTGCTTTAGGTAATGTGGATGCTTCAAATATATTAATTCTTTTAATCCAAGAGCATGG